GCTTAATCTTTTGTTTGTGTTAGTTGTATGGAAGCATGAAAATGATCAGGACATTTTTTGTTCCATTTTGAGCACAACTACCCCTTGACCAAATAGATAATTCACCTTGTGAGTGTATGATCATTAGTAATCCCTTTTGACCCTTTTTATCGACATCCATGTTGTTTTTGCTAAATGCTTGTCTATGAGTGTTTGGTTCATTTTTGTATGGATATTGATTCTTTGTTTTCTTGAACCTTTAACTATGAGTTGTAGTTTAAATTTTTACCTTATCTTAGAAAGTAGGGAGTATTCACATTATGATATGGTTGAATTCAAGTTGGGGAGAGATTTGTTTGCTCACTTATGTTGTTGATTGCTATGAGTTTGTAAAAGAAAGAAAAAGAAGAAGAAAAAGTGAGAAAAGAAAAAGAAAAAAAATATGAAAAAGTTATGAAAAGAAAGAGAAAGAAATAAAAGTGAAAAAGAAAAAAAATATGAAAAAGTTATGAAAAGAAAGAGAAAGAAATAAAAGTGAAAAAGAAAAAAAAGAAAAGAAAAAAAAGAGAGAAAAGCTTTGAAAAAGAAAAACAAAAAGAGTATGGAATAATGTTGTGTTAATAAGTGATGTGTGTTGGTTTGAGAAATTTAGAATGAAGAATAAGTTTGATTGAAATTATTTTTCTTGAGTCTTTGTGATTTTATCACTCCCTTAGATTTAGGAAAGTTTTTGTTTCGATTAGCTTTAGGATTTATCCGTTGTTTGTTAACCAAGCCACATTACAACCTTGAAAAGTCTTTGAGATTCTTGCCTTTGTATTTTCAATATGAGTTTTTGGATGAATGCATAATTTAGTCTTTTGTTTGCAAGATTGTGGATGAGTGAAAATACCTTATTTTGTGTGTTTTTCATCTACTGATGATTATTTTTGCTAGGTGTGATTCATTTGTGAACTAGTGTTGTTTTAGAATATTTGGCATGTTCTTTGTATTTAGCATTCGTTTCGTGTTTATGTTATCGTCGTAGTTTAGTGGTAAGTATGTTTCATCGTGTGTACCATTTTTCATTTGAACCATTGCATTTGTTTTTCGTTTTCAAAAATTGTTGATTCATGATATTTTGGTTGGTTAATTTTGGTTCTTTGAGTTGTTTGGCCTTGTTTGAGGACAAACAAGTTCAAGTTTGAGAGAGTTTGATAAGTGTAAATTGTAATTATTTTTGTATATATTTTTTGTTGTACTTGCCAATTCTTTGTTGTTAATATCGTTGAATAATTCCCCATTTTTTGTATAATTATGTATAAATTATATTTAATCGAGTTTTTGTGTATTTGTGTATCGTTTGATAGTTTTCCATTCATTTTATAGGTATTAATGTGCATTTGGAGCATGAGCAATAAAGTGTCAAAGATACGGCTTCAAATGCGCGATTTTGAGCAACTCATCAACGAATAAGGCTCAAAATTAAAGAATAAGAAATCATCAATTTGGTTGATATTCATGCATTGTTAGATAGATAATTGAATAAGCTTTCTGATCGTACCTGATCAGAATTGGACCGTCACAGCTGGCTCGAACTGAATTTGAAAGAGGTGGGGGGGGGGGGGGGTACCTGCAAGGCACTCCGATGATAAATTGAGAAACAGAATGAGCAGACGAATTGTATGTGGGTGTGAATGAATGAATACCTGACCCTCTTGAAATAGAGGGTATTTATAGCTCCCAGCGCTGGGCCAAGGTCCCTTTATTGGACTGACCAAACAGACCCAACAAAGGGACTGCTAGGTTCTACGTGGAGTAGTGGGGACCTGCACGTGGTCCCCTACCTGGATGATGCTCTCCGCAGAAATAGGGAGGTGAAGACGCGGTCTTCTCAGGACCCTGAGGACTCCGAGATATTCGGAGGTTGAGTCTGGCCAATGAGGAGTATGTTCGAGCAGGGCCTGGATTGAGACGTTCCTCGTCTGGGGCGTCCCTTGTCGGGGACTCTCTTCACGGTCACCGGCGGGCACAATTGTGTCGACGACACCCATGATCGAGGCGTGTCGGGGATTCTAGTACTCAACATGGTATGTTGTAAAGCTTGGATTGGGCCTCGCTGGTAATTGGGCTACGGGCAGGCCCAGTCCAGAACACTTTCCAACACTTCGAACCAGGCGTAAATCGGAGTTACGGTTCTCAAGTTATGGCGAAAATAAAAGCTGATTTTTTTCTCATGATAGTAGAGCGCGCTTAGCGGAATTTTTCCGCTTAGCGCGGTCCCTTGAACAGAATTGCGTTAAAAGGGCCAAAAAACATTTTTAGGTTATGTTTGGGGTATTTGTTCCCAACTCATCAAACCTATATTTTTTTTATAGATTAGCTTAGAAAACAACATTAGAGCCTTGCTTATGGATGATTGGAGGTGAATTTCTCTTCGACCGACACTGACAAACCGGAATATTTGTGGTTTATCTCTTCTCCTCTCTTTGTATTTGTCTTTTGTTGGATATTGTATGTATATTTACTTTGAACTCATGTATATTTTTCACCCATGGCGTTATATAAAACTTGTTTTACGAATCTTTATCGATTATTGTCCTGGATTTTTACTCTGTGTTAGGGATTTAGGTTGTTATAGATATATATTGCTCGAAATTCTTATCTAGGATGATTATCTGTTAGTTTCTGGATTCTAGAGATAGATTTAGAGCTGACATTCACTTGGGTATCTGTGATTAATGCCTTTGTGTTGGTTGTGTCGCTTTGAGAGATTCCCGACGCGATTAACACGGTTGACTTCTATGTTGTTGAGGTGGTTGAGAGATCGCTACCGAGGTGATACAGTAGGCCTCTCAATCTGGGTTAGAAATGACTTAGGTTGTGAGTGGTACGTGATGACATAGACTAGTATCGTAGGTTGAGTGTAAATGGACGATAAATTTAAATTTGTGAGGGGTAGTGTTCATTCGTACCGGATAAATTGTCTATCCTTTATAGTTTTTGTTTATATTTATTTTTTGTTGATACCTATTCCATACAACCCATTCAATCCCCAAACTCATTAACGAGAGAATTGTTGAACGGCATTTCAATACACCAATCTCTGTGGACACAATACGATATAACTTATATCATCCGATAAAAATACTACTTTACTTTTTGCTTGCTGCTTTACCGTACCAACAATATTATATAGGGTATTATATATCCAAAAGAAGGTAAGTCATTCTATGTTACATAATGGGGCCTGTTTTCTTGGTAAAATATGAAATAACCCTTATGTTGTTTCTTAACTGTGGCAGAATTGTAGAATTGGGTTTGCCTAGAGAGAAGTATGAATGAGACTTGGATCTTTATTGAAATGAAACGGCCAAGCACGCCGGGTTCACTCTAAAAGTCTTATGGTCCTTTTTATAACATGCCTTAGAAATTGCAGGGATGTTATCCTTTTTCCAAGAAGCTATGGCAAGGCCAAGAACTAATTAAGTTTTGGTTAAGATTCAAGTTGTGATCTGAGACTATAAATCATAGGCCCTATGCTTTCATCTCTGATCGACAAAAGATAGACTGTTATAGTGTGTTTTATAATTCATGTACATTTATTTCAGACTTGTATTAGTGTATTATGTTTGTATTATTTTATAGAGACTTGTCCTAGCAATTCAATGTATCAGTACTCATGTTGAACAACACCTTTGTGTTAAGCATTTGTATTGGAATTGAAAAAGAAGTTCTCTGGAATGGATTTGTAAGAAACTATGTAGAGTGCAACAAGTGCTACTACAATTCCATCATGGAAGAGGACAACGTTAAGGATGAAAACATTGAATGAGGCAGTCTAGACACAAATGAAGGACGTACCTGCATATTTTTAGAGCAGATCACACTTCAATACCTATTATAAGTGTGACCTACATGTAAATAATATATTTGAAGCATTTAACCAGCATTCTTAGAGTATAAAGTAGTGTTTTAAAACTCAGATCGTTTCGGCCAGTCGGACAGGTTAAACTGTGAACTAGGGGATAGAGTAGTCTGATAAGTTCATCAGACCATAGTTGCAATTGACCGGTGAAAATTGGTGTGATCTGGTCGATTTACTGATAAGACCCGTGAACCAATGAGTTTCTTGATCCAACAAATTTATCTTTTTGTGTTTATTTTTTCAACTTATTTGCATGAATAAGTTTATAGAATTTTCTTTTATAGATTTTATAGTTGTGAAATTTATATCAAAAATTTTATTTTATGGATATATTTTTTTAATTTGTATAAACGGGATTAAAAGTCATGCGGTCATTGATTTGATCAATAATTTAGTGAGCAAATAGCTTGACTGAATCGATGATCAAATCGAACATTACTATAAAGACATACTAATTATCACTTTATTAGAGTGGATTAAATATTATCTCACTAAAAAAGATTATTATTTAGAAAAAATGATGCGTAAGTATGTTGGAGATATTTGTCCTAGGATCCAATTGACACTTGAAAAAAAAATCAGAAAATTGCATAAGATTAGACTCTACATAGCTTATGAAATAATATAAATTCAAAGCTAAAATTTTAGCATAAAAAAATTTAAAATTCATTTCAAAAATTGAAGGTTGAAAATAAATAACTAAAAATATAAAATGTCAGTCTCGTTTAATATACTTGAGTTATTATTATTAGTTACATGAATATTATATTCTAGTTGAAATCCTTGACATTTCATTTATTACGTAAATTGTTGCTATTAATAAAGAGAAGAGGTCAATTATGAATTGATCTAATCATTGAGATGATGCCACAAGGCCATTCTTGTTTTCTCCAAAGTTAAAGCAACTTGTGTGTTGATTTAGTAATGAGTTAACCAAATCTACACAAAGAGTATTAATGGGATATAAAGACTATTAACTAAGTGCTTTAATGTTGCTGGACACAAAATTCAAGCACTTTGATTATAAGTGCTTCAATATGTATGGACACAAAATATCCATTGACTATAAGTGCTTTAAGATAACATGTTTCCGAATTGATTCTATAATCTAAACATGGCTTTCTCTCTGCTTCCCTTTCTCCTCTACTCACTGATTCTGCAATCCGTCGGTGTTGCAGCTCAAACCAAAAGTACCATAGCCATCGGTGATTCTTTTACTGCAGGAACCAACACCTCTCCATGGTTGTTTTCACCTTCTGGTGACTTTGCCTTTGGTTTTCTTCCACTCAAAGACACTAATCTTTTTTTGCTTTCCATTTGGTATGCAAAAATTTCTGAGAAAACTATTGTGTGGTATGCTAATGGAGATAGTCCTGCACCAAAAGGGTCAAAAGTGCAACTCACTGCCAAAGATGGGTTGGTGCTAACTTCTCCAAATGGTGTCAAGTTATGGAATACCGAGGGACTCAACAGCGCAGTTTCTCGAGGTGTGTTCAATGACACCGGCAACTTTGTGCTCGAGGATGGTCATTTCAATAGTCTTTGGGAAACTTTCAAGTTTCCTAGTGACACCTTGTTGCCTTCTCAGGTTGTTGAGAAAGGAAGAAAGCTCTCTTCAAGGCTTAAGGAGACAGATTTCAGTAAAGGAAGGTTTGAGCTTCTTTTACAAAGTGATGGTAATCTTGTTATGCATTCTATTAATTTACCATCTGGTTATGTCAATGAGAACTACTATGAAAGTCAAACAGTTGGATCCAGTAAATCTAGTGCTGGAACTCTACTGGTTTTTGACAGATCAGGGGACTTGTATGTCTTGGGAGAGAACAATGAGAAATACAATGTGTCAGGAGAAGAGAGTAAAGTTTCTACCACGGATTTTTATCTTAGAGCAACTCTTAATTTTGATGGAGTGTTCACACTTTTCAAGCATCCGAAGAGTTCAACAAAGAGTGAAGGTTGGACCACAGTGTGGTCCATACCTGATAATATATGTCTTTATACTGTCAGTTCTGGTAGTGGTGTTTGTGGATACAATAGCTTTTGCACTTTGGGAGATGATAAGAGACCAACATGTCAGTGTCCAAAAAGTTACTCACTGGTTGATCCTGGTGATCCATATGGTAGCTGTAAGCCAGATTTCATACAAGGATGTGTAGAAAGAAATGATCTCTACGACTTTGATATTTTGATAGACACCGATTGGCCTTTATCAGATTATGTGCTTCAAAGGCCTTTTACTGAAGAACAATGTAGGAAATCTTGTTTGGAAGATTGCTTTTGTTCGGTGGCAATTTTCAGGTTAGGGGATAGTTGTTGGAAGAAGAAGTTACCACTCTCAAATGGGAGAGTTGATGCAACTCTCAATGGTGCTAAGGCCTTCTTGAAAGTGAAAAAAGGCAGTGTCTCCCTTGGTTGAGGGTGAGGATAGTTTGAGAAGTTGGTGATGGTATCTATTTGGTGTGTTAATTTAATGGCAAAATAAATGCTAATGATAATCCTTGATAAGAAAGATTGGCAGCTGGTGCTTTAATACTAATCCTTGTTGTGTTGTTTAAAGTGAACAATTTTTTTTCTTTCATTTATGTCTTTGTATCAAACTGTGGGTTTTATGTTCCTTCATCATTACTATTTGAGGTCAAGATTAGCTTACTTTGCATGAACAAACTTGATTACATTTTTTTGTTGTTGATAAAGTTGATAAAGTTAAGTTAATATCTAACTAAGCGAAATAAAAGACAGAACATGGTATGTGTAAAACTAATTTGGCTTGATAGACGTTATATAAGGTAGATATTATAACAAAAAAATGATGGGAACCATACAAAAAATGTATAGTTAATTAAGCGCCAATTTGTTTTGTTTTTTTTAAATGATTTTAAAATTATAATATAATTTTGTGTAAAAATAATTTATAAAAGAAATTTTTCGTAAAAGTTTCAAATGAAAATCGATAACTCTGCGACATGACGCTAAAGTCATAAAATGTGAGTTCTAAGTCGGTAGTCTAGTCCTATGGAGAAACCAGAAGGATTCCCGTGAAGGAAAGCTAGCCGCCAACTAGGAAGGCTCTTACCGCATCTACGATAAGATGGGAAATGGAGCCTACTACCTTGAACACCTGAATGAGAAACGACTACCTCGACCTTGGAACGATGACAAGCTAAAAAAATATTCCAGCTAAGTCCCATGCAAAACCTAGGGCTTGGCAGTCGACCTGGCCTCTCCGACAAAGACGGGTCGTGATCGGTCATGGAAGCATGTTGAGGTACGAACATTGCATCCAACCCAAAATGAAAGGTGGGTCATTGCTCATTGGACGAGCATGATTCTAGCCCGACGGGGACACCTCGATCGACCTCCGTCGTCGTTGTACCAAAGAGGCAGAACACTCAGCTCGTGATGGGACTGCTCACGCCGCTAGAATAAGATCCCGAACGCAACCTTGGCCTCGTCCCAACGGAATCCAAATCTGTATCCCTGACACGTCTCCATACATTGTCATCCATCAATAAACAAGTCGAGCACGAATTCCTACACTTATATAAAATGAATATGACACGCAAAACGTCAAACAATATTACGGATAAACATGCAAGGTTAAAGCATTAAAAAGAAAAAAAGGCTGATCACAAAGGCCGACATTATCCATATGTTACATAAAGAGGGGCACACAGGCCCAAACTAAAGGCAGATATACAAAAACCGGGCAAAGCCCCTTGTCCAAACATTAAAGAAAAATTTGGCACACAGACCAGATAAATGCACGGGCGCGCAGGCCCAAAACTAAACAAATCTTTGCGCCCATCTTCTTCACCGTCTGATTCCTCCTCAGGGTTATCATCGGGAGGAGGAATTATAACCCCATCAACCACTTGGTTAAAAGGCCCGGTCCCTTTGGTTACGAGCTTGACCCCAGCGCTGACAAATTTAAGTTGCTTCGCAACAGCATGAAAGCCATACCCAAGGGTGTCCATCATGTCCTACTCGTGCTGGAGAATCCGGGAAATCACCTCTTTCCTAGTCTGAAGGGCCTCCTCCTCGACGATTTCTTAATAAACAGGCGTCGTGACCCCCTCTAACTCGTTTACCTGGACAATCAGTCTTTCATTCTCCTTAGTCATGGTGTCCATCTTCTGTTTTAGTTCGTTCAACTCCTTGAGGAGCCCGGCTTGGATCTCGTATTTCGACTGATGGTCAAGCATACCGTTCTTCAGTTTTCATTATGCGCCTTCATCTTGTCACTCCGGGGATTCGCTTTGTCAAGGGCAGCCTGGGAGCATGTTGTCGCGTCATTTAGGGCCAAAGCAGTCTCAAGAACCCTCATTATAGAGGTCATGTCCTCAGATATATTCTTTCGCCGGACCTCCTTGTCCGTGAATAAAATGGATTCCCTTTCCACTTCATGAAGACCTAGGGAGTTATCCCCGCCAAAATACCGCAGTTGAGGTAACAGGGAGACAACATGAAGGACTCTTCAACATTTTTTCCTTTATCTGAAAAGACCCCACACTCGGGACCCTCCTCGTGCCTCCTTTTCACGGGCTGCTCAGGGAGAGAGAGTTGATCACCTCGAGGAGAAGAGGAACCGCCGACATGGGCGTCAAGTTTGGCCTATTTCTGAATCTGAGCAGCACGCCCTTTAGGCAACTTTAGGCCACCCTTTCCCCTCAACTTGAGAAGACGTTCCTCGAAAGTCGCCATTCGACCTGCAATCTAAAAAGGGGACAATTAGTCTACGAAACAAAATAGACAAAATGTTTATCACGGGCACTCCCCCTACCTTGGAGTCTCAATGACTCTTCATCAGAAGAACATTTGAGGAGCGCTTACATATTTATCAGTCAGGAAACATAGACATACTCTCCCTCATCATCAAGAATAAAGTTGTTGTTTGAATCCACGCATTTTGCGGGGGAGAAACTCTTAACATAGGCCACTAGTTTATCGTAAGCAAGCTTATCATGGGCATCTAACTCCTCAAGTTTTACTGCATAATATTATGGCTTCTGCTCGAAATGCTTCCACTGCCACTAGAGGGGAAATTTCTCCTTTAGCTTTGTTACTTCCCGACAATCCTCAGTCTCCACTGAACGCTCGTACGAGGAGCCCACAACTACTTCAAAAATAGGCTTCACGACATAGAACCTTTCCTTGAAATGTCGGACAGATTCCAAGTATGGTCAAAACAACTTTTCAAACTTCTATAACGACACCCAGACCTGGAGGCCACTGACCATCTACCGTTGGAGGTGGAAGATTCAAAAGAACAGGGTTAAGGTAGCGCCAATCTCAAGGTATTGGCAAACGATCTCAAATGCTAGCATAAATGCAAGCGCATTTGGGTGGAGCTGAGAAGGCGCCAGTTCTATCCATTTGAAACCCCTACCTGGAAATCCGTAAAAGGCAGGCGCATCCCTTCTTCCTTGAAGGCGAAATTATATATGGGGAAGCCATTTTCCGGGAAATCTGAGTAGATCCTCATGTGCTTGTTCAGAATGAGAACCGGCCAGGAGGCAGGAGTATCATCTTCCCTCTCCTCGACAATGTTGAACGCGTCAAAAGGATCATGAACAAATTGATACATCAGATTCTTGGGTTTGGGCGCGACCCAATCTAGGGGGTTGCCCATGCCCATATTTTCTTGCTATTAGACTCAGGCAAAACAACTTCTTCGACTGGTTGAGTCATCTTACCTGAAAAGCAGGGGAAAATAGTAAATTTGACATCATCAAATCCACGCTTCCACCGCAGATCAAGTGAAAGGGCGAGGAGCTCCTAGAGGATAGGTCCTTGACTCAGTCCTTGATGGCTATGCGAGAGGAAACGAATCCCCTCGGCTAAGAAAAATCATGAACGTTCTCCCCGACAGAGCGACTTTATCGTATTTTTCCAAATCACAAGGAGGAATCCCTGATACGGACCCGTATAAAGCTCATTTGAGATTCATGGATCTCCATCCAGAATTCATGAATCTTCATGCGAAATTCATGAATTTCATCCGAAGTTCATGGATCCTCACCCATAATTCATGAATCTTCATACTAAATTCATGAATTTCATTAGAAAACCCATGGATCTTCATCCGAAATTCACGAACTTCGCCAGAAAATTCATCCGTTCATCTAAAACCCTAAAGTAAATTAATATATTCAAAGGAAATCACTTACTTGGTGAAAGATGAACGTTACAAAAATCTACGGGCGGCGACGGCAGTAGAGCCGCTTGCGAATGGAGGATAAGCAAAAGGAGAGCAAAAGTGAAAATTCTTAAGTGGATTTCTTCACCTCTTTTTCTGTAAAACTTGTTGAACTCAATGTTCCATTTGTTTTCAGTTGAGGGCTAACGATACCAAATGTGCGGAATTCATAATAATTTGTTCACTGTTTCCATTGACGGTGTCCCGTTCAACATTTCAATGATGGAATACACGTCTTCACTGGTGGTTGCATCATACAGTTTAAATAGTTTTGATGAAGGTTCGTCGGATTCCTTTGATTCTATTGTGGAGCATTCATCCGATGAAGAGAAGTTTGGTGAAGGGTGGGGAGATTTCGAGGTATATGAGGTGTCATACATAGAGCATAGCAGAAAGGTGAATGGGACAGGTCAATAAGGCAGTGTGAAGCAAGGTATGGGTGCTGAGTGTCCAGGAGCTAATATCCAGAGTGTTTCACTCTTTAAGGTTTCTGAGGAGCCGGCTAGCTTAAAGGCTACTCCTGTATCTTCTGGTATTGGGAATAAAGATAAAAATTTGGCTCTAAATCTTCACACATTAAATGCGATGAATGAGGTAGGAGGGAGCATCGAGAATTGTTTCTTTGGAGATTCTGAAGAGAGAGGTTTTATTGAGGAACATGATTGTAGCAGAAGTGTGACCGGGTTAGTCTATAAAAGCATAAGGAATAAGTGTGGGCCTAAAAACATTATAAGTAGCTCAGGAGGCCCAATGATCGGGTCAGTCTACAAAAGCAGAAGGGATAAGTTTGGGCCTAAAGGCATTGGAAGTAGCTCAGGAGGCCCAATGTCTTTTGACAAGGCCTGCAGAAACATTAACTCAAAAAAACCAAAGAAGAAAAAACTTAAACTTGTGTTGGAATTAGGAGAAAAAGTGGAAGTTCTAACTTCGTATTACGCTAGCATTGGACCAAGTAATGGAAGTTCTTATCTAAAATCTTCAGGCTCATCTGTAGCACGTAACAATGATGGAGATTCTATTTCAAACGGTGCATTTTCTACCTGCAATTCATTAACTGATTCTGAAGTAAATTGTTGTAATATTAGATTGTTAAAGAACACTAATCATGAGGTGGGGAGGAAAGTGTGGAATTCTATCACTAAATTGGGGGTGGTTGCTTGCCTTGAAACTGGTATGAGTGTGAAACTAGTTGAGGCTATGGAGCTTCGAGATAAAGAGGG